GCCGCTTCTGAGTGAAACTGAGTATCTGCTCAGCTTTTGGAGCAAGTGAGAGCTAGTGAATATTTCGCTCTGCAGCTGGATGAGAGCACGGATGTAGCAAATATTGATGTTTATATATGATTATAAATATGTTTATTGTTAATATTACTGTTGGATATTATATATAATATTATTAAGGCATAAGTAGCTTTCAAAAATGCTAAAAATATATATTAATTGTTCATATTACTGTTCAAAATTATATAATATTATAAAGACAGAAATCACTTTAAAAATGCTTTAAAAAGATGTTTACTGTTGATATTACTGTTTAATATTGTGTTTATAACAGAACACACAATGAATGTAAGGAATGACAAACAAAAGATAGATACAAAAAATGTTTAGAAGAATAACTGATTATTAATTATTAATACAAATATATTAATTAAGTAAATGTATTAAGCTGTATGATTAATTTGTCATATTTTCCATCATAATGTACTCATTTAAAAAATAAATAAAAATTGCAACAGGGGGGTCCCCGCCAGAGGATAATGCTATATGGGGGTCCTTGGCATGGCAAAGTTTGGTAGAGGATACTTAATGCTTTAATTCTGATTAAACTGTGGAAACTATTGTAGAAGTTTAAGTGAATAAACTGCATTTTTTAGTGCAGTTTTTCAACTATCCTAAAGTGTCTAAATATTGCTCAAATCCTCACCAATGTATATAAATTAGTTCAATAGTTTGCAATTAGTGTCAAATATTGCATATTAACAACATTGTTATCGTCAATCAATTTCTTAAAATATGGAGAGTATAGAAACCTTTTAAACTTTAGAATAATCTTGTTATGTTCTTTTATACTGCAGTTGATATTCTGCAATGTATTCCTGTTTCCCTTCAATGATTGAAATAAATCTCTAGACAACAGATCTAACCACCAGGAGTTCTGCGGGTCCACAATGAAGATGGTACGTTCTAAAAAAGGTGACTGAGTATTTCCCCGACCTGTTTCCTCCGAGCGAGTCCTGCAGCAGGCGGGTGAGCTTGGAGTCTCTGTAAGGCACGTGAGAGGAGCGCTTGCTTCGGTCGCCCAGAGCGCTGATTACATTCCCCAGAGCGAGCTGCAGGAATACAGAGGGGAGAGAGATGTTTAGAGGTGACGCAACACTTAGATAGGGTTTATATCTGTTGCAGTTTATTCAATGGCTGCTCTCTAGGATCATTAACCAAATACGTTTGTTTGTAAATTCCTTTTCTGTCCTCCTGTTCAATTGGTATATGTTGTTCTTTATTATTTGTTGTTTAAATGACCGATTTGACTTTCTCCATCTGGATCACAGATCTCAAAATACTGTAGAAAGTTAAATTGGGTAAATCCTGCAGTAATGGGGACAAAAAACATCCTACAAATGAATTCAAATACTAACTTTCGTTCAAGACAAATAACAATTTATTCTTATTGAAAGAGCAGGTTAAATAGTAGAGATCATATTAAAGGTTTTTCTTCAAGTTAAATATAGCACTTTTTGCTTTATATCAGGGTATATGCAGGAACCCTGAAGTCAAATGTAATCCCTTTTAAGACCTTTTTTAAGACCCTTTCCATACATTTTAAGACCTCATCGCCACTTGGAGTTCTAACCGGTTGCCTTGGCGACACACTTTACCTCACATTTACTATATACAGTATTGATTGTCCTTCCTCCTTATCTTCCAACTATTTGGACGGAGACTTGAATTTCCCCATAACGATGTTGTTTAACAACCGGCGTAAACGGACCTTCGCGCGCTATCAAGCAGCAGTCAGTGAGCGTGCAATGTCCTGTTCAGATGACGTCAAATCCAAGGGGATGCCATAAATAAACTACAAAGAATCACATTACACACATACGCAATGATTACATTCAGGCAGACTGTAGAATACAACCTCTTTGGACAATTTATATACTTATTGAAAACAAGCTACAAAATGTAATACCTTGGAAAATGCCGTTTAATACTTTTTAATAGCCTTCATTTTCACTAAATTGATTTATCAACTGTTAATACTTTTTAAGACCCCGCGGAGACCCTGGGTATGATCTTATTGTGCAGCATCTTCCTTGTTGCATTGTTGATCGACTCTTAGTGCAGCGTGGTCATTTATGAATTCAGCCACTAGATGGCAGTCAAACTCTATTATATGATTGGCTCTGACTTCTCTGCACCACTGAGATTCAATACAATACAATATGCTAAAATACATTCTGAAGTGTTTCTTGAATGTCAAATGCTTCATTTGTTTTATTCATGCAGGGACACACATTGAAGACTAGAAAGAACAAGGGAACTGACATTCAACATGACAATCAGTGAAGATGATATTTTAAAGACTATTTTATACACAGAGGAGAAGGAGGAGGAGGAGGAGGAAGAGGACCCTCACCAGGCCACAGTTGATGGAGATCGCCTCCTTGGCTCGGTCTCCCGTCGCTCCGGTTCTCTTCAGCCGCTCGGAGCCGGCCAGATCCACGAAGTGAAACTTAGCCGTCAGCGTCTCGTATTCGTCCAGCTCTGAGTTTCCATTAGAGACTCTGTTATCAGTCTCACCTTCATGCTGAGGGACACGGGGACACGGAGACACGCACGCACGCACACGCACACACACACAGACACACACACACACAATTTAAAGTACAATTTCTTTTTTATTTTGGTATTTAATTAAGAATTTTGTGGCAAAATGTATTGAATTTGAAATTATTTAATATTTAATTAATATTTAATTAATATTTAATTAATATTTAATTATACACTGACTTTGTTTACATGCAAGCACACAAATTCAGAGTAATCAGATTACGACAATTAACACAGATTGTTTTTAAACTTGAATTTGTATGTGCTTGTTGTTAATAATTTAAAGGACGTAATTGTGTATCATGTCTCTTAATATGATTTGGTCTTAATATGATTCCATTACAAGACGATACATTATCATCATTAATGATCTCCCTGCCCTCCCCTCTGGAGCACAAGAACTGTATTCGTCATATATATACTGTATATACACACACAATACAGTATATATATATATATTCCTGAGCAGCACTCACATTGTCGGAGGCACAGATGCGGACTTGGCACAGGTGGATGGTGAAGATGGCGTGAGAGCGAGAGCTCTGCACGTTCATCTGAGTGCTGGCGGTGGTGCGACACAGAGCCCCGAGCTTCAGACACTGCATCATCTGAGACAGAAAACACTTTCAATATTCACCGGCAAACTCTTTTTAGTTTACATTTGAAGTCAAGTCTTTAATACAGTCTGGTAGAAGCATTCACACTTTTCTCCTCGGCTTGTCTTGCAGGAGTTTAAGTTATAATGTATAAGAGAATAAGATCCACCACAAATGAGTGCAAGATTGTGATCCTTATTTAAATGTCCATGGTCGCCTTTCGATTAAATGTATTATTTGTGTTGACTCATTTCATATAGCTGTGGGAAAGACATCATACGTTCTCTCTGGCATTTTTAAATATAGCATCAGTGAAGGAAATAATAAAGAACCAGGAACACGTGTCTCTGTAAAGGCCTTGTGACGACAAAGAGGTTCACATTAAAGAGTGTACTCTCATTAATGAAGTCCTTAACATTAACGATGCCGGACTAGATGTTTCTTAGACCCTCGCGGTGTTACCTCGGCCTCGGAGGTCACGCTGCGGGTCGTCACTCCCACGGTGTAGATCCCTCCGCTGGCGTCCTCGTGGATCTTAATGTGAGATTTCTGTCTGGAGTCTCGAGTCGAGTCAAACAGGTCCAGAACCTCCTCGTTATAAAGCTACAGGGAGATACAAAACAAGGTTCTGATCAGACAGATAAACCACTTCAAATCTTTGTTGCCTCCTCTATTATCTCTCAATGTTTTGTGTTCATGTGTCCAGACCCAACATAAATAGATTTAAAAGCTATTAAGGTATCAATAAAATACATTCTGTAGGCAGATTCTAAGGTTTGGCGTCCTTAAAGGTCCCATGTCATGGCCATTTCTACTGATCATATTTCCATTGTTGAGGTCTATAGAATAGATTTACATTGTGCAATGTTCCAAACTCACATTGGTTGCTCACACAGCATCTCTGTATAGTATGTGTATTCACTCTCTTTCCTAAACGGCTTGTTGGAGCTCCTGCCCCCCCCCACTCTGTGAGCCCAGTGGCCGTCTGCGAGACAGCGAGACACAGCCCGAAACACACACAGAGTTCTGCGGTGTCTCGCTGTCTCGCCGACCCCACACCATTGAGCCAGCTCAAAATGTCCCGCTTCTCGCAGCAGCGAGCCTCGCAACGTCCCGCCGAGTGTGTGTGTATGAGGAAATCCACGGATTGGTCCAAACGTA